TTATCCGGTAAATCTTTAGGATCTCTGATCCATGGGTATTCTGCAATCCATCTTTTGGCTTCTTGATCGTAATGAAGGTTCTTTTCCACTAGAGCAAGTTCTTTCTCTGCTTTAATTGTATAGTTCTTACTTCCCAGGGAACGTTTTCCGCATTTACATCCTCCGCATCGTTGGATGCATTCAATCCCAAGATTTTCTATGTTGTAGAAGTCTTGCACGGTAGAGAATGTACTATGAAGTACTTGCACACTGTTAAGTTCGTGTCTCTCATTTGTTTTTTGATCTGTGGATGAGTTCCTCCAATGCATCTTCCAAGTCGATTTTTTAATAGTAGTAAGTGTTCTGAGCTCTGTTCCTTTTGTGGATGGAACCCAGCGTATTTGAAGCCAATTAATACGTCTACTTCTCCTGTTGGTCTTGTTGTTTCTTCCTTTGCTACGTTTCTGAATAGACGATGTACTCCATCCAAGTTTATAGTTTGAATGTCCGAAGTTATCTTATCTATGCCTTCTTCTATGCATTCTTGTCCCTTTTTATCAATTGGTGTGAACTTGTATTTGCGGGATATCAACTTCTCATTAACGCCTCCAGCCTTGACCACAGATAGTTGAGCACTTATTCCCGTGAGTTTTTCCTCTTTAGCTGTTTTATTTGTGATGAAGCAGAGGGAAGCACCATTGTCCCACAATACACTAGTAAATCCCTTTTTTGTCTGAATCCTTTGAACTTGTAGAAGACATAACAACAATACGTGTAACAACAGAGGTATTGATATATTATATCAATACCTCTGTTGAGAGGTATTGATATATTATATCAATACCTCTGTTGTTACACGTATTTGCAGATGCAGGGACGTTAATTTCGTGCTTTTCTTCATGCAACGTTGCCTGATATCTCCTGGTACAATCATTTACGCCACAGACGTTCTTATTCCTGCATTCCTGAATTCTATGGCCTGTCACGACCAACGAGCTCACTTTTCCTTTAATATTCCTCTTCTTTCTTCAATGGACTTGGATAGATAAACTCTGCATTCAGTTGTTAAATGGTTAGCTCCTTCATGACATAAACATTTGCTAGGTTTCCAGTGCGAAGTAGTTACTTTGCTGTCGTTTTTCTCTGAATAATGTACAAAACCCTTTATTTTGGAGTCGTTTCGCAATTCTGCATTCTCATATTCAATGGCCTGCTCCTTGTTGAGAAGGAATTTCAATAAATTCGGAAACTTACTCGTTTTGTTAACAGTGCTGTGGTCTGAGCTTACACACTTTGCCCATTCTTTCTTGACATCGGTTGGTAATTTCTTCTCTATACGCTCACAGAACTGGTTGTAGTTATTTCTTTTTCTAGCCCTAATCTCTTTAAGTCTCGGTAGCCATCCTCGACGACGTTGATTAACTCGATGAGTCTGTTGTTTCCACCGTCTCTGATATTTCTCGTATTCTGTATTGCGTCCATGATGACATCTACAACTTTCGTGGGATCACCATATTTTTCATCTAATCGTTTCCAC